AGGTTTATACAAAATTATATATAAAATACAATATTATAAAATAACCAAAAACAATGATAATATCGGATCGGATAGATTTAAAAAATATTAGTCTGATATTTAATATTGGCACGGCCCTAGTAAATTTAATTTAATTTTGCCAAATTGAGCATTATAAGAAATATTACGGGGTGTGACGTAAATTAATTATCTTATATAACTTTTGCAAATGTATTTATCTGGCAAAAAAATAATATTTAATGTGAATCAAATTAAAAATTATAATAATAAATTAAATGTGCGATATACATTATACGTATATTATTTGTAAATTTCAAATTGATCAATTTTTGATTTAAATAAAACATGCGATTGTTTTACTATCTTTTTTTAGCATTTGTCGCTATAAAACGATAGCAACCTCTCTAATTTGTGCGAAGAATTTATATTCAAAGTTATTTTAATATTTTAAATGTCTGCTCCCTTGCGAAACCTAGTGAATCAAATTGGAAAACTAAAATATTTTTATGTAGTTAAAAAATTAAAAAAGGAATAAATTTTATAAATTGAAATTTCTTTTATTAACCTTGTGAGTTGTGACAACCCCGATTTTAATTTTTTTAAAATATAATTTTAAATTTTTTTATTTTCACGTGAGATTAAATTAGCGTCATTGCTTAAAAAAAATATATGACAACTAAGATTGAATGATGAATTTAATTGAGTTGTTAAATTATGATGAAGCAATTAATATTACACCTGATTTATATACCTATCAGATTTTATAATGCCCAAATTTTTGAAATAAAAAATGTAAATTAAAGGAACCATATGCAGGGCCTGGCCTGGATTTTTTTTGCCTGGCCTGGGTTTTTTATTTTCAGGCTCGGCCCGATTTTTTCAATATTACATTTATTATTTATTTTATAGCTAATAATGTCGATTTAAAACATTTGGTTTTAAAATATACAGCCCGAATGGCCAGAGAATTTTTTTAATTTTTTAGGCAGGTCTGGGTATTTGAAAAAAAAATATTTGGGCCTGGCCCGGGTATATTTTTTAAAAAAATTATGGTCTGCCAGTGAACTAGGGGGGTAATTCTATACCAAATCGATAACTTTTCGGCCCGACCTTTTTAATTTCGATAAAATTTTGCATACTGAGAGAATATCATTAGAAAGCATCGAATCCAAAATTTTAGCTTCCTAGCACTCAAAATTCCTGAGATATCACTGGTCAAAAGTGCCAAAAATGACCTTTTTTCGAAAAATACGATTTTTAAAAATTGAGATAAGTTAAAAAATAATGATTTTAAAAATATAAGTTATATGTCATTTTGTAATATTAAAGGCCTTTTATTAAATATTAAGGATTTTTTTGAAATAATATTGTTGCGGTTTTTATTTACCTTATAAATTTTAAACATAAAAACTCCAAATGTTTCGCTTTTCAAATTTTTTTGAATTTAATATTTTCTTATTCTCTAACCTTATATCTATTCATAAAAAAAATTTAAACTTGGGACAACCATGGGTTTTTTAGTTATTGAAATTTAAAAAATAAATATTTTTTTCAAAAATAGATGGCGCTCCTTTATAAAATAACGCGTTTTGTTGAGATTATCATTTATTTTTTTAAACTTTTTTCTATTTTTAAACATAAATAGCAAGATTTTCTATCATTAATATCATGAAATGAGATTATTTAGCTGCGGTTATAATCATTTTTTTCTTATAAAAAATTTTAATTTTCGAAAATTTTATAAATTTTGTAGATATAATAGACAAATTAAAATTCATGAAAGATATTACCTATTTTCGGTTTTTCATTAAATTAAGTTTTTTTGACGCCATGAAATTTTCTGTTGCGATAAATTATATGTACGCCCAGTAGCCGTCGATAGGCTAACTATTGTTAAATATTATTTTTTGGTATGAAAAGGATATCTTGTGCAGCTAGATAAACAAAAGAATTTGCTGGTCCTTTAGGGTGAAGAAAATTAATTTTTACTTCATCTCTAATTACATTCACTTCTTGTACAAATCCTAACCACCAATCGTTTTCATATGCACATGTTACATATCCTCTAATCTCAACGATTAATTGATCCTCAATCAAAGGATCCTCACGTGGATATACTATATTCTCCATAATAAATGTCTGCGAATTAGAATATAGTTTAGTGTTGAGTTTAAGAATTACTCGCCTTAAAATAATTATATAATTTTTTCAAATTATTAAGAACTAACCTTTTTTGAGCGTTCACTCGTTCCCCCTTTTCAACGCTAGATTATGCAATCTTTTTTTCCTGGTAATACCCTACTAACTTCATCACTGCAAAAAAAAATTAACACTATCAACTGTTTTTTGATTGAGATATTTTTGCAGGCTTTCGATTTGGAGTTGAAGGAATCCCCTTTTTTTCTAAAAAGATTTTGGAATTATATGCCATATGATTATGTAGCGTTGAATGTCGTTTTTATTTTATTTGCGCTGAGGCAGAATGGTCAGAAATTGATATTTTTTTATTTCTTAGATAAATTAGGATATTGTAATTTCATATTATTGAGTAATATCATTATTATATTTTGTACCCGATTCTTATTTGTTAATTATTATATCTGGAATAAGCTTTTTATATTTTCGCTATCCTTTTTTTTTGGATAATTTTTTTCGGTTAGTTTTTTTTTCTTTAGGAGATATTCCAATTAGTTTAAAGTTATATTGATTGTATTTATTGATGTTGATGCTGTATTGATATTATTTACATATTAGCTATCAGAATAGTTATATTTTCAATATTTTTTTGTGATAACCGTTTACGATATTTATCACAAATATAGTGTTCCGATGTTTGGATATTGTGTCATCCACGTCATGACTTTATGCGGGTTCTTTTTATAATTAAAGTGTTTAGATTCTTTAAAAGGATTTAACGCATTTATATTTATACATTATTAATAATTTTAAAAAGAAAAATAATTAATATCAAAATATTTGTAAAATAAAAATTAATTAATATTAGGGCAGGTGAGAACTTTCTTTTATCTTTCAACAATTAATTATTATATTTTCTTGTAGGAGATATGGAACCTTAACTATCTTTTTAGGAAATTTAATCATTTATTATAAAAACAACCAATTTTTACAAGTTATCAATATAATAATAATAATAATAATAGGTAAGCCTATCAAACTATATATAAATTTTTTCATGATAGTAATGCTGGAAAATCTTATTATTTATGTTTAAAAATGAAAAAAAGTTTAAAAAAATAATAATCTTAACAAAACAAGATATTTTATAAAGGAGCGCCATCTATTTTTGAAAAAAATATTTATTTTTTGATTTTTTAAATCGTAATAACTAAAAAACCCATGGCTGTCCCAAATTTTTTTTTATGAATATATATAAGGTTAGAGAATAAAAAAATATTAAATTCAAAAAAATTTGGAAAGCGAAACACCTAAAGTTTTCATGTTTAAAAACCGCAACAATATTATTTCAAAAAAATCCATAATATTTAATAAAAAACCTTTAATAGAGTTACGAAATGACATATAATTTATATTTTTAAAATCTTTATTTTTTAACTTATCTCCATTTAAAAAAATCGTATTTAAAAAGGTAATTTTGGGCACTTTTGACCATTGATATATCAGGAACTATGAGTACTAGGAGGCTAAAATTTTGGATTCGATGCTTTCTAATGATATTCTATCAGCGTACGAAATCATATCGAAATTAAAAAGGTCGGGCGGAAAAGTTATCGATTTGAATTACCCAGGGCCAGGTTTAGGTGGCCTGCAGGATTTTAATTCCTAGTAAATAGAAATTCTCTATGAAAATAAAATAACAAATCTTAAAATTACCTGGACAAATATAATATAAATAAATACATATTTGTCATGTCTAATAAAATGGTTTGAATTTTTACTTTTAGGTAGAACTTTGATTAATTTTTAAAAAATGTAACTTAAAAAAAAATTAATGAATTGGAATTAGAAGTCAGTGCTGGTAAGCTTGGCCTGAAGTAATTAGTTGTCCAGCCCAGCCCATAATTTTATGAGTAAAATGATATAGATTTGCCTAATTTGAAGCTTAAAGAATTTTTGGTTTACAAAATTGTATGACAAAAACTTATAAGTAGAAGCACTCATATTTTTTTCATCGTTAAATGAATCATAGACACAAATGTCCTGGACAAAAGTAACAGACAAAAAACAATGGACAAAAATACCCCAATTTTAAATATTCATTTAATTAAATGCTCAAAGGGGCAGGGAGGGGGGTGATTTTAAAAATGTTCAGCTTTCTAAGCATTAATTTTTTTAAATTAAGGTATTTTTGTCCAATGTCTTTTTATCAGTGATTATGAGTAATTTTGTCTGTCTTTTGGTCCATGATTCATTAAAAACATGTATGTATATTTTGTTTTGATAAATTTTATTATGTATAATAAAATTAATAGACTTTTGAAGATGTAAACAATACTCATAAAGTGTTTAATAATTATTACATTAAATTATAACATAGTATATTAAAATTTAGAGATAACCCTAAATCCTTATTAGATAAACATAAAATACATTTATATTTTATTAAAAAACTGAAATAATATATTTGATAATATATCATTGTCCACAGTCAAGTCAAGGGGGATATCCATTTTCCTTGGCAACTTGTTATTGTATTTAAACTAATAATGAATAGAATAAAAGAACAACGCGCTTAGTCATTATGAAGTGGGGGTGGATTGGATAATCAATATTTTAATATCTTTACACTTTTATATATTAGTGTAAGGAAAACATTGCAGCTACATTATAAATATATATTATTAGGTGTATAAAATGTTTAGAAATTTTCTAATAAAAAACTATTTTAGTTAAAATATTGATTATAGTAATAAATTTATACCATTAAAAGGGGTCTTACGTCAGTAAAATTTGTAAGGAATAACTTAATATTAAGTAATTTATGCTAAAACGTTTAATATAGTATATCAATTATTTCTAACCTTTAAATTTAAATTTTGAAATATGAGTATTTACGTTTGGAGTAACGAAATCTATTATTAGTATAGAATATAAGCCTAAATATCTTTAATACTTTGGGATTTGTCAAGATTTTCAAAATATTCATCCCAAGTATTGCCCCGAAATTCATTTAAGGCAATAGTTTCGTTCATGTAATAATCGAAAAAGGATGTCACACATTCATAATTCTATTTATTCCATAACTTCAAAAACTATATGTAATATTAATGTGATTTTATATCAATAAATTTATTTTAACATTTTTCAAACATACTGAAAATTATAAAATAAGATCACTTAATAATATGTTTTAAAAATAAATTAAAAGTTTTTAAAAGTTTTAGTTTTTTTTTCAAATGCGTATATTCTTATATAATATAACATCATGGCCATGATATTAATCAAATATAATATATTATAAAAGGAGGTATTATGGAAAGATATTATAAATATTACTGAAAACATTAAAAAAATTATTAAATTTAATTAACCTTAAACTTATATCGTTTTGTAACAATTTTAAATTAAAATATTTTCCACAAAAAATAATTTAGCTTAACCTATCCAAAAAATATTATAACTGGAATGATTATAGTATATTAGGGTAAATCTTAAAAACCATTATGTCACAATTAAGGTAACAAATAAAGTCTCACTTAGTAAATAAAGTGGTGGGCTTCAGTAGTTGTCTGAAGGGTGTGTATGGGTTCTTGAAAAAGTGGTGACTAACCAAATACTTTACGAATCGTTATTTAACCCAAAGATTGTAAAACACAATTTATTTTATATACTTTTCAGACAAGAATAATTAATCCACGTCATATGGTTTGGAGATGGAGTAGTTGGAAAATTATTGCTGGGGATTATGGAATGGGGTGAGGATGTTTATATTAAATGTTTATAATTCTATTATTATAATGTTGTTATCGGATTAGAGTGCTCGAGCTCCTGCCCCCGTCTTAGTGATGCGCCTGGTGGTAGTCATGTTAATACAACAGACAAAAATTAAATCACAAAGACTAAGAGGTTAATATTAGTTACTATTTCTATAAATAAAATATAGCTAATGGGGAAATTTTTTTTTTTAAATTACATTATATATCTAGTAGTTGTTTGAAAAAGAATAATATTAAAACTGATATGTATAAAATGAAACCAATATTCAAATTACATAAAATAGAATTCAAATATTAAGTTGAACAAAAAAAACAAGTTGAATGAATTGTTTTTTTAAATTTTTATTTAGCATTATTGATATAAAATGGAAATATTGCAAATGACCAAACTACAAAAGAAAATATCAACACAAAATTATGACGAAAACAAAAAAAAATGGCTAAAATATTTTTTCCTTCCTACTACTTCCTGTTCAGCCGAAAGAGATATGAGCAAAGTGAAAATAACCAAAACTAGTATGCGGAATAAAATTCTGGACCTTTATTTAGATAATTTACTATATATCCAGCAAAATTAATCTTTTTTTAAAATTTACGATTGATGATATTATAACACACTTTGCCATGATATCTAAAAAAAGTGGGTTTGACTAAACTGCAAATGCCTAGGTAAACTGCAAATGCTTAGGTATAATATTTTGATATATACTGTAGTGTTTTTTAATAATGGAAATATCGAAATCGCAATTTTTTATTTTTCAAAATCTCATTTTTTCGTTCATATAATAATATCAATAATGAAAAATTAACATTTTACAAAATTTAATTAAAATAAATATTTTACAAAAATAAAAATTAATTCAATACTTATCATTTATCCCCAATCTATTGGGTTTCGTTCGTATTCTTTTAGGATATCGATCTTGACTTGTAATTTCTTCCTTCCTCTCCTTTAGATTCAATTCATCGTTATTGCTTATTATGCCCTCTTTGTTTACCCTCTCTTCGGTCTTCCACTTCAGGTCTCTCTTCTAATTCGTATTAATCAGTTACTATATTTTTGGTTCTTTTCCTTAATTGATCAGTAAGACGTATAATCGTTTTACCTTCTATACTTACTTCATATCGTAGTGATCCGAGTAGGCTTTTAATAATGGCTTTTTCCCATTTCTATTGTAAATGCGCGACCACACTTTTCCATTTATCTCGAATTTTTAGTGTAATATTCTAACTACTCCTCCTTTTTGTTCCCCAGTTCGAATATTTGGTCTAACAATCTTCTAGGTTTAATTAGTAGTATTTCAGCGGGACTTTGTTTTGTTTCCGCCCCTGTGTATTTCAATTGTAGAGAAAAATAGCTAGACTGGTTTCTAAATCCCCCTTGTTTCTTTTATTCATTCTCTGTTAAAGTTCGAACTAATCATTGGCCATGCCGTTTGTCTGAGTATGGTAAGGACTTCTGTTATATAATAGGAATTAATAAATAAAAATATTATATATTTGGTTATTAAATAGTATATGTTTAAATTTTATATAACACGCATTCATTAAATTATCTTTACTTTAATATTCTGATATATTTAATTTATTCAAATTGTACAAATTATACTTTTATTTTTAGTTTTGCTTTTCGTTTTATAACTAAACCTTTTGATAATATATATTCTAATTTTTATACATAAAAAATATATATATACCATTTGAAATATAAATGAAGAGAACATTTTTTTATTTTATAATCAAGTGTTACAACCGCCTTTTCAACTTCCGTGCAATAATTGTATGTATTCCGTTTTTTTCGCAGAAATCATGGAATTATTTGTTGCTGGATTGTGGTCCGTTATCAGAAACGATTATCTTAGGAAATTCGAATCTGGCAAAGATATATCTTAATATTTTGATCGTGCTTTCGGTTGTAGTACTAGTCATGGGAACTATTTCTGGCCAGCGACTGCTAGCATCTATCACTACCAACCAATAATGATTTTAAAATGTTCCAGCATAATCAATATGTACTCGGTGCCATGCTTTTGGTGGTTTTGGCCAATCTTGAATTAATGTCTTTTGAGGTACATCATGTTGTTCCTGGCATTCTCTACATTTTTCGACCCATGTTTCTATATCTTGGTTTATATTCAGGGTTGCCATGTCTCCCCTCATCAGCGGGAGACTCCCGCAATTTTTTAGTTTACACGCAGACATCTCTCTCCCACAAAACTACCGCAATTGGAAATCTCCCGCAAAAATCTACCGCAATTTTTTAATTTCTTACGCAATTTTTATAAATAGTATTTTAACGTATTTAATATGTAAATAATAATTTTGAAAGACATTATATGATTATTTTTATATTTTTAAAATATTAAATATTTATTCGAAAAACATGTCTAGTTTGTAAATTTCTTTCTATCCTGTTTTATTTTTATCCAATGATAAATCTTTCATTCATATAAGCCAGTACAGGGGAGTATATCAACATCGATTGCAATACAAAATTATTCTCAAAAATAATAAATAATACAGATGCTACTACATTTGCGGAAATCGTATACATCTATCATGTAGTTCAACATTCACAGAGCTATATCATTACAGGTCGAATCTTTTTCTCATGATATATAACGACTCCATATAAGTGCAAACCTTACTTGTGGCAAAACAAAAATGAGCAAAGCTATTACAAGTGTTTTAGTATCTGAATCCTAGAGGTCAATTTCAGTGTCTACATGACAAGATTTTTACTGGATGCAAACACCCTTCAAAAACCTTTGTCTACCCCCCAAAATTCCCGTTTCACCTATTTATTTATTGATACTCTTTTCAAAGAATTTATAAAGGATAACTTAAATTAATCTATCTCTACTACCAACTATCGATATTTTGTGAAAATAAAGAATTTATTTTTTAGATAATAAATTCAATTAAAACCTCCATTATTTACATATTATGGCATTATGAGCTTGCTGAAATATTCTAAACCTTTTAAATTACATTTAAAAGGATAGTTTATTTGGAAAACCATGTGTATGATTGTTTGCAATATATAGATTTGGTCGATGAATTGTATTATAATAATATTAAAATAAAAGTATTAATTTTTACAGCATTAAATTTTGTCCTATTTCATCTCAAAATTTAATAGATAACCAGCCAAAAAATTTATCCTATCCCCATTAAAGCAGCTTACCCCCTACCCCCTCAAAAAATAGGATGCAAACTGTTCCTACCCCTCCCGCTCAAGTAGACACTGGTCTTTTCTAGACGATTTGAAAGATGAGCATCCATATGCAATTCTAACAGATGCATCTAATAAGGGAAATATTAAAATTTTCCCTCGATCCTTCGCTATTTCAACAAGAATAAGAACATTTCAATAAAACTTAAAAAATTTCCCTCGGATAGTGGAAAATTCAACAATGTAGCTAGCCACATAATAGTAAATATAGCTGATTCAGGGTTATCAATGATTTGCATGTCAGCTTTCTGCGCTGATAATGCCTTGTAAATCTTGGCAAAAACCAAAGTGACTGAATTGAGGCAGCACAATAATGAATTAATACCAATTGGCTGTATATGCTATACACTACATAATTCTTGCAAGAAGTCAATGAATGTACTATCTGTGGATGTCGAAATAATTGTGATGAAATGTTTTAACGAATTTAGTTCATCAACTAAAAGAGTTAATGAATTAAAAGAGTTGCTGAAGTGGTCTGACTTGGAATGGTGTGAGTTGTTGCGATATATATCTATTAGGTGGTTGTCATTAATACCTGCCAACGATAGAATTTTAAAATTTTACAAACTTAAAAAAATACTTTTTAAATAGAGATTTTAAAAGCTGTCCTAAAATTTTGAAAATTTTTTTCCTCGGATAGTGGAAAATTCAACAATGTAACTAGCCACATAATAGTAAATATAGCTGATTCAGGGTTATCAATGATTTGCATGTCAGCTTAGTTACCGAATTAGGGCAGCACAAAAATGAATTAATATCAATTGGCTGTATATGCCATATACTAAATGAAGGCAATGAATGTACTATCTGTGGATGTTCGAAATAATTGTAATGAAATGTTTTAACGAATTTAGTTTATCAACTAAAAGAGTTAATGAATTAAAAGAGTTGGTGAAGTGGTCTGACTTGGAATAGTGTGAGTTGTTGCAATATATACCTATCAGGTGGTTATCATTAATGCCTTTCATCGATAGAATTTCAAAATTTTACAAACCCTTAAAAAAATACTTCTTAAATAGAGATTTTAAAAGCTGCCCTAAATTTTTGAAAATTTTTTCGAGTATTAAAT